GTAAACCCCTTAACTACATTGCTACATTGTGACAATTGCCACATCATCTAGATGAAGCTCACAGAGGCTAAGCAATTAGCCAGAATCACAAACTAATAGGCAATGTTTTCCTCTTGCCCACAAGAGAAAGGTATTCTTGTCTTGCACCACTTTGTTGCTTTCTTCGTTTAAGGTTTTTATTACAAAGGTCAATGTCTATTGGCCTCTTAATAAAAGTAATTATTATTTAGTGCTTAGTATACATTGCAAGACATTGTTATAAGGTTTTTACAAATATTAACTCATTTAATCCTCCTAACGATCCCATGAGACAGATTCTATTATTATCCACATTTTACAGGTTAGGAAACTGGGGGACAGAGAGATTAACTTGTCCAAAATCACAAGACTGGTAAACAGTAGCTGTGAAATTTGAATCCAGCAGTAAAGCATAGTTCCAGAATGTGTGCTCTTAAACATACACTATTCTGCTTGAATAAGATTCTACAAAGATCCTTACTCAGGACAAATGAGGAGTTGTTCAGCAAGAAAAAATCACGTTTACTCCTTCCGATGTGATTTATTTGATTATATTCTAAAACCTTTCCTCATGCCAATAGAACTCCATGTAAGTATTATATTAAACTTTCCTGTACTGAAGGCATATGCAGTGGTTACCCTGACTAACACATAAAATACCCAAAACAAAATACCCCAAGACTTGAGGATATTTTTGTTTTGTGAATTAGAGACAAAATAAAAATTGCCTAGGCATTAGAAGTGTTATGCATTCATATCTGTAAGTCTTTCTTGGGATTTTCAGATTTCTTATACAAGAATTTTTTTTTGTCTGAGATGTTTCAGTGTTCACTCAATGCCTGAGCTTGCAAATTATCTAATCCTTTTTAATTTTTTCATTTTCAGCTACTTTGCCTTCAGGCACAGGGTAGGGCAAGCACTTACTTTCAATATGATATTTAACACTTTTTATGCTTTTATTTCAGTTGTCTTGAAAACGTGCTAGTAAACTTCCAAACATATTGTAAAGATTTAAAATTCGGGGTGTGTATGCATATATCAACAGGAGTTATGAATTATGTATATTGTAGACCTCTATAAATTAGATTTTGAAGAACAAGCATCACAGTAGTCAAGCAGGTCATAATAAGACATTCTACGTGAAATGTAAAAACTACCTTGAATAAATTATCCATAAGTTAACATTCCCATTAGAATGACATATTTATTATTTCTAGGTTTGTGATGTTGCTTTAATGCATTTTGGCTGACTGTTGTAATGGCATATTAAGAAACCATTTCAGGGCTTTTTTCCCCATTGGAATTTGCAGACTTTTATTTCCATTTGCACTAAAATAATATAATATTAAAAATAATCACCCACTTCCCAATGTAGAATACTATTTTATTCTGCCTAGAAATATTTAATCAAAGCAGGATATAACCTTAGTAATTATTTTTACACAGAATGACCCTGAAATTAATAGTCAATTGTAAGACTAAAAATTGGGAGACTGACAATCAAAACAATCGTAAATGCTTTGTTTATGTGATGAAAATGAGTGATCTTTTAATTCCCTCACACACATTTAACTGATTTCACAGACTTTCTGTACTGCTGTTTAACGTAGTCAAGTGCTTGAGGTTATGTAAAATAAACAATCTTGAGGTCTTATTGCAAATGTTTGCAATTTATGATGTAAACTGATTTGTGAAGAAAAAACAGGATTCTATGTCACTGAAGCCAAAAAGGCATTTTTCAGAAATCAAAATAGTTCCAAAATTTGATCATTGCATTATACTAAAGTATTACCATCTGAGGATCCAAAAAAGTTACAAATCTGGGGAAAAACTCAAAATAGATGTATATCAGTTCAGCTCCAAGCAAAGGCACCGATCTTACTGTGTCTCTTGTATCATAGGGTCCTCAACACTAATGGTGTCTTAAATAATCTCTTTTAACTCATTTTCCTCCAGTCATGAATTTTGCAACTCGGGAAGGATTTCCATGCCCAAAAGATTTGGGGAGCAGGGGGGTGTCCTTTATTAATTATATTAGGATTATTGAGTTTCCACCAAAACCACAGGCATTTTGGGCCTTATTTAAATTTAAAATGAAGACATCCTCAGACCTCTTCTTGGGATAGTTTGGGGAACTCGGGGTTTGGACCTCTTGTTCACAAACCGAGGCGACTGCCCGCGCGTTTGGGTACTGGCGTTCTGGGACAGCGGGCTCTGCCTGAGCCTGTGTAGGAGCCTGGACCCGAAGGACGAGGCCCCATAGGGCCATGGAAAGCGGCTTCTCTTCGGTTAGTCTTGGGGGAGCAGAAGCAGGAGGAGGCAAGGGCGCCCCAGGGGTCTGGTCCCACAGGCCTTGCCCGACTCGAGCGCTGCGGATGGGGCCAAGAAACTTTGGCCTTTCTTGCTGGACCTAGCTCCTCCGCGGGCCTCTCCGCCTACCGCGCTCCCGCCGCGGCCTGACTCCCACAGGGCTCCGGGCCCAACCCAACGGGCTCTTGTGGCCCGGGACAGTCCAGACCGACCTTCGCCGCGTCGCCACACCCCTGTCCAGATACCCGCGCTTCCGCGAACAAGGCCTGGATCCACCGCCTCCTTTGACCTCAGGCTTCCCCCGCGCTCCACCGCATGGTACAGGTTGGCCCCGGGACCGAGCCACCATCTCCCCTGCCCCAGGTTCTTCAGGATCCGAACCCGCCTTGCGATCTGGGTTAGGATTAGGCTTTGGAGCTTGGAGCCTGCCTGTTTGGACCCCCGGCCCCGGCGCCCACTGGAGCTCGCTGGAGGCCACAGGACCGTGGTGGATGACCCGGCTACTTCAGTGCTCACCATGCCCGCAGGCAGATGTTTATTATAAAAACTACCGACGTTCATCAACCGGGAGACCCTCAAGGCCTGCGCACTGAATACGGCCCAAATCCTGTTCAGTGGTCTTTTAAAGTTAAAGAAATCTATCGCCCACGGGTAGGCTGAGGAACTGCTTTGAACACGAACTCAGACCTGGTAGAGGGCCGGGTGGTGGTGACGGGGAACGCTGCTGGAAGATGCGGGGCTTTGTAGGGGTTTTTACGCACCCTCCAGCACGACGGTGGGGGGTCCCAAGGGACGCTTAGGAGGACCCCCTCAGTCTTCGCGGAAGGTCCCGTCGTCCCAAGAGCCCGCGCGGAAAGGGCAGGTCCTGTTCCGGACCTGGTGTCCCAGGTCGAGTCTTCAAGGTCTCCATCTACCCCCACACAGGCAGCACCTTTGGGCTTTACTAATGGGATTTCTTTCAGAAGAAGGGGGCCACAAGATGGGGGGAGAGAGAGAGCTCCTCAGTATTTTCAAGGCAAGGCTTTTTCTAAACCCGATTCTGGATTCCACCTTCTAAATTTAACCAATGAAGAAGCTGCTTCAGCCAAAGCCCTAAACAGGAGTGTGAGGTGGGGGAATCCGCCCTCTATAGTGCCCCTGCCTGCCCCCTTAGAGGCTCTTTTCCTGCTCAGAAGTCAGCACCTGCCCGCTCCAGAGGGTCAACGACCTAGGACTGATTGTCGATTTTGCCATACCAAACCTAGGGAGATTTCGCACCGTTTGATCCCTCTTTCCTTTCTCTCAAAAGTGTCCCCAAATAAATTTAAAGGTTGAAATTACAGCAAAATGAAGAACAAGAGTCCATCATGGTGACGGGAGTTATTCTATTCTATGTTATTTTACTTATTATCTGTTCTTTCATTAATTTAGCATAATCCGGTGGATAAAATGGAGGGGGCGGGCGGGTGTAAATGCGCTCAGCGATAGCGACAGCCACAGAGGCACCCTTCTTACTGCCCCTTGACTGCGGCACATAAGAGCAAAGGCAAGCACTTTTCCAAGTTGGTATATTCGAGAAAGAGATACGCATTAATCAAAAGGAAAAAGGGAAAGACTATCCCGGATATTTTAATAGTAACAGGAACAAAGATGACGCAAACCCCGTCAAATGAAACAATATTTTCATTCAATTGATCGCAAAGTGTCTTCAATTAATAACTTGGCACTTATTTAAAAGGTTTAACAGAAGTGGAGCCGAAACATTTTGTACTGACAACACGTCATGAGATAACATCTTTTGTTTAAAATAACTTAATACACTAGAAAAAAATATGTCAAATATAAATAATTTTGTTTTCATGGAGAACAAATAGTTACAAAGCTCAACCGCATACCAAAGTTCAGTTAGAAGAGCTTTTCCTCTTTCTTGTAAATTAGAAGGTAAAAAACCCACAAACTTAGGCTTGTTATAGAAGTGGGATACAGATTGGCTTAGTCCAAGGTATCCCAGTTTAAATAGCGACATGAAGTGAAACAAACAATCAAAAAAAAAAAAGTTACTTGAATAGATACACCTTTGTGAGATAAAATGCAAATGTTGAAAGTCAGTCCACACATTATAGCCAAAATAAACTTTGTCCGTGTGTATCAACATATCTTACACAAACCTAGCGCCTGTATCTAGCTGGGTGTTATTTAAGGTGAATTTGACGGGATAGAGAGGGGGAAATCAAGCACTGTCTTCAAATAGGACTTCAGGAAACCAACAAGAAGGAATAGGAGAAAAGGGGAATGGTGGGAACTAACATTGATTGAGCTCCTACTGTGTCTGGCACAGCGAGGCGCTATACCTTCATTATTTCATTTCGTGGTCTTGTTTTCTTTTTCCTTTCCCCACATATTCTGCCTACCTCTGTCTGTCTTCTTAGGATAAGGAGTATAATTTTTTCCCTTTCTTACTTTTTTCTTTTGTTCCCCAGGATCAAAGACAGGTCATATATATATATATATATATATATATATATGTATGTGTGTGTGTGTATATATATATATACATATACACACACACACACACACACATATCTCAATTTCCAGATGCTTTTGGTATTGTTTTTCATAGTGAAGATGAAAATGGAGGAAGTGCATGGGAGTTAAGGGGGTGGGAGGAGGACACACCATCAATGGAATACAAGTAACATGCAAACCGGAATTTACTGTCAGTAGTCCGGACAGTTTTGCCATAATAGTTTCTCAGAGAAATCATTGTCTGTGGCATATTTTTTGTGTTAATATTATTTTTTCTCTCTCTTCGTTTTAATATTTTCTCTTTTCTTGCTCTTCCATACATGGTGGGTTTAAACTCAAAGCATCTGATTCAACGTAAAAGGAGGCCCGCCTCTCTTATCAAATTTCTCGTATTAACGTGAACTTCGCAGAAAAAGGTCAGTTTCAAAACCTGTGAACTTCCCAGCTGCGCACTTTTTTCATCTTGGCTTTTTAAATAAGTATACCTCTTCTTTCTGCTTTGCCTTCTTAGCGCATTTTTTAAAACACACATATTTAAGTTGGTAACTCCCCCACATTCTCTCGAGATTCGTCTGGGCTGTTTTTCCATATTTTTAAACGTATAAAATACTTTAATTTTAAAATTTGTTTTTGCTCCTTGGTTCTACAGTTTCAGCTTCTGCCAAATAGCAATAAGTTCCCTTTCTCCTTTTCTCTCCGGTTTGTCTTTCAATTTTTTTTGTTTGCTCATTTTTTCACTGTTAACAAGATTTTGTTTCTATGCAAGAGTCCACTGTTGCACCACTCCCTTGTCCAGTCTCTTCAGACTCCCCCAAACCCGCTCCTACAAAACCGAATTCTACGCCCTCGGGTAGGAAAATGGGCAGGAGCCACGGAGCCTGTGTGCCTCGTGGGATCCCTGGTCCTGCGTGAAGTCCGGCTTTCCAAGTCCAGGATGCGAAAGGGGAGAAGGGATGGTCAGTGAGGCGGAAAGAGGGCCGGCTCCCGAGGTCTGAAAGGGGTAACCTAGAAGCAGCGGGGCGCGGAGGGCGTGCAGGCTGAATGCCGCGGGGGGGCGCGACGCTGTTGCTGGCGTTGGCGTCACAGACCCAGGGCTGCCGCGTGCTTTTTGGCTTTCAGTCTGAGATCGGCGATGCTGGAGTTCTTGCTTGTGGTCTTGGCGGCTGCGGCGGCCGCCACTACCGAGGCGGCGGAAGCCGAATCCGCGGCCAGCGTGGCGAGTGGCAGTCCGAAGGGCGGTGCTGGGAACATCATGTAGGGCGCGTGCGCGGCCAGGTGCGGATGCAGGTGGTGGTGCGCGTGCGCCACAGCGCTGTCCAGCTGCAGCTGCGCCTGAACCTGAAAGGACAAGGGCGTCACGTTGCAATGACTATCCTAGGGTGACAACAGAATAGAAACAGAGCATTAACGGAGTCCAGCTTGGCTAGAGAGAGAGTTGGGTTGGGTTTGGGCACGGGGAGAGGGCGTTTGGCTGTGCATCTTGTTCCGACAGACCTTCTCCGCCTGTTGCTGAATCTGGGGTTCCATACGGATACTCCAGTGCCCCCCGAGTCTCCGAAACTCGCTTAGTGTGGGTTTATTTCCCTGCACCCCGGGAACCCCCATCTGCAGGAATGTGGCAGCCTCCCTTGAGAACTGGGCTGAAATGGTATATTGGAAAGACTGAGGGTGAGGATCCTTACCCTCTTCGCCTGATGCTGCCGTGCACCTGTTACCCCACTATCAAAACAACGGAGTACCAACAAGCAAACTACCCAACTTTTTCATGTCATTCAGGGAAGTTACTCCGTCTTTATCACAACAGGCACAATTGTGAGTCGGTACTTTTAAACTTTACTGCCATAAGAATTACCCAGGGATCTCGTTAAAATTCAGATTCTGATTCAAAAGGTCTAGGTTGGGGCTTGAGATTCTGAATTTCTAACAATCTCCCAGGTGGTGTTGTTTCTGCTGGCCCAAAGATCACCTTTTGAGTAGTAAAGGTCTCCTTTTAAAGTCAACTCTCTCTTTTTCTTCAGTCATTCTCTGGTTTCCAAAGCCCAGCATCAGGATGCCAGGGTCCTTTGGCACCAAAAGAGCTAAGGTCTCCCTAATACTGACTCTCAATACATGGGCACACCTAGGAGTCTCCCCAGTCCAAGTCGCTGGAGACTGAGAGCTAATTCCTGACATCATAGCCATGCCAAGCAGGGGTCCTGGCTGAGGATGGGGAAAGTCAGATACTGGTTGGGAAAGGATTCTGCCCTCAGGCTTGGAGAGTGGGGAGTTCAGAACACTAGGATTTCCCAGGATTAAATCATTGCTGCAGGCTGTACTTTTAAAATGTACTCTTAAAGGTTTCTTTATGGCTAAGAAAGGGATTGCAAAGGCAGGGCAGCCCTGGGAAGACCAAGACTTTTCTCTTTACCAGAGATGAAGCCTTGTTTCCAGAAACAGATTTAAAAACAAAGAAAAAAACAAAAGTATGAGCTGGGAGTACTTGTGTGTATTTATTTTTCTTCTGTTAGAGTTATTTAATGTGACTAAGAGACAGAAAATACTCAGAAAAATATCTAGAGGATTGCCTTAGAAATACTTTAGGACTAACCTTTGTATTGGATTTGACAAAATCTTAATCAAAAGACTTTTCCTTCCTCTCTCTAAGTGCAATCTTTAGGTGCATTTTTCAAGGACCAGTTACTGTCCCCAGGCCTCTTCAGGGGTTCCCATGAGGACAGAAGGGACTAGGCATATGGACCCTTAATGCTGTATAGGTTTTTAAAGGGTAGTGGGTCCACTATGTCATCTCAAAATAGATTCTCCAACTATGCAGACGCTGACATCTGGGCTCAGAGGCAGGTGATGTTCAACAATTCAAGCAAACATTCAGGTATTTTTGTATTTAAAAACAGCTTGAAACTAGGCTGTACTTGCCTGCTGAAATGGCATTCTTAAAGCACCTACGTTGACATAGGGTGCGACTCTGCAAGCTTCAAACTGGCTGGCAGCCCCTATGAGAACACCTGTAAAAAATACAAAACAAAAGAAAAATAATGTGAGGCTAACATTTCTAGCATTTTTCAGGGTTCCAAATGGTACAAGATAGAACTAATTCCTTTGAAACTGGACTATTAGCTTTCTACACTGCTTCCATAATTTAAATAAATATAATTTACTACCAATCTTTAGGACTCTTATTAATAGCCCTTCGAGATTATGAAGTCAAGAACCATTGTCATTTTTGAGATTTCTTTTTTTCTGTCTTTATAATAGTAATATTCACTACTTCTTTCTTTGCTTAGACTATCAAATGTTCCTTGTATAAGAAGCATACCTTTATGGAGTTGATTTTCTTGTTTTCTACATTTAGCTCTTCGATTTTGAAACCAAACCTACAGGATGGAGAAGGAGAGAAAATAAAACCTAGATGTTATGACTAAAAAATTTTTTTAATTTCAATATTACAAAGAGAAAAGAGTCATGGTATAGACAAGAATTGGGAGATACAGCAAGCAATCTTTGAATTATATAAAACAGCCTCAATTTCCAAATTAAACATGTAAATTAATGACAGAAATAGAAAGATAGATTTTATAGACTTTCACAAGATAGATTACTATTAGTCCTGGTTTAATCTTTTCACATAACAGAGTCCCCACGGCCTAAAACTCTGCTTAGTACCTGATACCGATATGATAATGTGTTTAGATATTTGCCCAGTTAAGACCTGAGAAGAATGTGCTCATTAATAGCCTGTAATGTTAATTAGCTTCATCTTAAAGAAAAACCAAACACCAGAGCAAATAATAACTCTTTTGGGGAGAAGGAGTTGTAAGGGTTGGGGAGAGGTAATTAGTGTCATAAAAGCCTCACTACAAAGAAGTTTAGAATTTCTCTGTTCCTCTGTGCAGCAGAGTGAAACACAGTGGCAGAATAATTGTGCACCATTATTATGATAATCTAATTTGCTTCTTTAGAAAAAGCCACTGCTTGCAGTTAGGATACTAAGAAAACATCTAGAAAATAACTAAAATGTAAATAAAAGTTCACTTCTTAAGAGAAAAAAGAACACTCAGTGAAAGGAGAGTGCGGTATGTATGAATTAAGTAACTCCGAGGTACTTTGTTCTCCTGGATGTTACCTTCTTAAACTTGACAACTTTTACAGGCAGTATGACAGATTTTTTAAAAATTCATGTAAAGCTTGCTTTTGTACTCCATTTTCAATAATAAAGTGTATTGATTGACTCACAAATTAAAGTTTAAAAAACCCCATTAAAGTAAAAATACTGTGTCAGAGCTTTTATTGGTATGTTTTTGAAAGTAAATGTCATAGTCAATGTAAATCTTAAAAAATTTCTCTGCTATTTAGTATAACAGAAGGGTGGATTTTGTGCCAGGGTGGCATCCTTTGTGTAATTCACATGGCCTGAGGCTTCTTGCCTTTTTTTCCCCTAGAAGAGTTGGAATTAAGATACTAATAATCGTAACTGTAATAATTATCACCATATTTTTAAGGGGTTGCTGAGCCTCCGGAGATCTCAGTGCATACAGAAAAGCAGGAGAAGCTTAAAAAGGAAGGCTCTGCTGCTGATGCTGTGATGAGCAAGGCAGCCTATTATTACTTTTCCTCTTCAACGTGACTGCTCTGTTTTTTTTTTTTTTTTTTTCCTGATCCTATTACAAGATGCGGGGAAGCCCCTTAAGAATTGCGCATAGTTCGCTACAGATGGTGGTCTCTATGCCCAGAGACCTAGGGAGTATCTGTTACAGCGATACTTTGTAACAGCTGCAGATGTGCGGGCCTAAAACTACTCCATGTGTTCAAACAAATAATGACTATCATTTTCTTCTATTTTATTATTTGAGTGGAAATACAATCTGAAACATTTAAATTTGTTCCCCCTAAAGCTAGAAGGATATGTGTATGTGAATGTACACAATTTGCCCCTTTAAATACCCCCAAAGCCTATTTTTGCTATTACATTTGCCTCCACAACCAATAAAGAAAATCTGTTTCAATCCTAACTTTATTGGGTATGGCACGTGCTGGGGGGCAGGCTTTGGAAATATAAATACTAAGATATGTGGTTTGTTTTAAAATCGAGTTTCTTTAGGGTCAGGTTCGTTGCCTTGGTTAAAAGAACGAACAAAGAGTGACCAAAATGCGTTTATTTCTCTGCTATTTCGCACACAGTTTGAGATCAACCGCTAACAGCAGACTGTAAATGTCTACACTTAACAGTTACTAATTTTCTTTATAGTCTGCACATCTATAAACCTAATTGGCATATCCGCTTGACAAACCTAGACCCCGCAGAGCAGACCTTCAACGAAATCCAACTCCGGAGAGCAAAATACTCCTTGGAACTTTTAAGGCATCCAGAGATAAAACGTTTTCTGTGGGATTTTTTTTAGCCTTATAAAAGTAGGCCCATTAGGATTAAACCACATTAAAGCCAGTGTGAGGCGAGGGGGGTATGGTTTATAGAAACTCTGGGAGAAAGCCCAGCACAGCTTTCTTCTGCTGGGAACATATGTTAGGATGGAAAAAAAGGAAGGGGAGTGCTATAGGACTAAGATCTACTTTGGAAAATAAGACCTCTAGTAAAGATATCTCTTTCCTTCTCATCTTACACCAGACACTAGAACCACCACCTCCTGAGTGCATCCTCCAAGCCCCTTTCCAACCCCAGGCCCTCTCTGCTCCCGGGGCCCTCGACCTCCTGGCGGCTGGGTACCTGCACTCGGGCCTCTGACAGGCCCAGTCGCTGGCTCAGTTCCTCTCGCATGAAGGCGTCAGGATAGTGGGTCTCGTCAAAAAGCCTTTCCAGCTCATTGAGTTGTTCCAGGGTGAAATTGGTCCGACTTCGCCTCTGCTTGATTTTGGTCTGGCCTTCGTCCTCCATCCCTTTCGCATCCTCTTTGCGATCTTTCAGCTCCGGGGACACTGGAAGGGGCACCCCAGCGGGGCCAAATGTGCATCCATGCGCGCGCGCGCGCACACACACACACACACACACACACGCACGCACACACACACACACACACGGACAAAAACAGCACAGCAAATCCCGTTACCAGATTTGTCGCAAAAAAGGATAGAGATTCCTTCCCCTTTGTGGAATCCTAGTGCAGCTTCTCACCCCACCCGGAGGAAGAATATCCCGGAGAAGCGCAAAGGTCAAGTCTCAGCGGCTGCCTGGGTGGGGTAAGGTGGACAGTCATCCACCCACCTCCTTCGCAAACGTACCTCGACTCACAGCCTCACTGCTCACCCCACAGTCCCTTGCCTTCCCCAGCAAACACCAAATGCTTTTCACTCACTTTCGCACTCACTTTCTCCCAAGCACTCACAGAAATCAAAAGCTTGGCGCCAGGCCTCTCACAGAGCAAGGTCTGGGCATAGGGCGCAGCAAAGCCATCCACTGGCCTCTCACACCGGCCATTCCCAGAAGGCTGGCTCGTTCTCAGGCCAGCTCTCACCGCCGCTGGCTCTCTGCCTACTGCAAACTTGCTGGTCTAATTTGGGAACAATTGGGCCGAAGGGTAGCTGCAGGAGAAACAGACCCAGCTGTTGGGCCGCACAGGGAGCCGCATCCGCAGGCGCCCCTCATTGCCCCAGGGCTTGGGCCGAACCCTGTATAAGGTCCCCTGCGCGGCCAGGTAATCTCGGTTCCCACTGCCCGAGCCGGGCCGCACGAGCACTGGCGCCCACGCCATGTTGGCGGCCCAAAGTGCTCGCCGCCCACGCCGGGCCAGAAGGCAGGAGGCGGAAAACCAGCCTCCGCTGGCGGGCGAAAGCAACCACCCTCTCTGTTCTCTGTTCTCCCTCCCTCGTGGAAACGCAGACTCGGCCCTAAACGCTTAACCCACAGAGATCAACAGGTTCAAGCGGAATATTCGCGATCCTCGGTTTCTATTGGTTGCTCAAAGCCTTTTCATGCATCCAGCAGCTCGGATGTTTAATAAAATATGCATTTTTTTTTTCTGCTCTGGTTTTGCACACATCCGCTGCCACTTTCCTGTCCTTCTCCTCCCTTTAAAACCAGGAGCTCTCCTAGTGTGAGCCTACAGAGCCACCCTATACATATCCCCCTGGAACATTTATCCTCCGCGCCCGAATCGGAGACTTGGGTTTTTAAGGAGTCAAAGCTGAGTTTAGATAGTCGAGACTGTTTGCAGTTCTTCCCAGCCCAGCATCCAGGCCAGCATGGGTGTTAAAAATCATTTCCAGAAGAGCCGGTCTGCAGAGAAATTAATACTTGCCCTGAGCTTGGAAATCAACAACCCCGGGAACTGCGCCCGCCTGGGGTTCAGACAAGAAGCTCGCGGTCAGGTGCGCTGGTGAACCTAGGGCCTGTAGTTGTGGACTCACGGCCAGGAGGCTGCGCTGGGCACCTTGACAGTAATCCCACCACTTCACACACTTAGGAAGATCTGGTGCTGGCTTGGAGGAAGAAGAGTCGCTAGATCTTGGCCTTGCCGGGCATTCTAGCTACGGTGATCTAAAGTATTGCGGTATTTTTTAGTTCTCAGAGTTCGTTTTGTGGACATTTGTCCTTTCTTTAGGAAGTAAGTGGGTAATATTATAGTAAGCATTATGGACCAATTTAATAGTAAAGTATTTTTACTGATACCGTACTGAAATTTAAATATGAAAACACACCCTTCAGATTTTGCCAAGAAGGTGGGAAGGCTTTGTCTATTACATGTCATCTACACAGTGGATGCCACTCAAAGTTTTGGGGCTTCGAGGAGATGTCCAAATTTCAAGTTGATTAATAGACTTCATAAAATCTCTATTTTGCCCCCAAATTTCCACTTAATGATCTAAACAGGAACAGACCGTGTTATAAACAACTTAATTGATTGCTTAAATATGTGATTCCACGCATGCCACATATTTTCTTAATTGGAAAAATATGGCAGTACACCAGTTACTGCAGGCACCAAGTGCCAAATTAATTTTATTGTTGAACTCCTTTGAATTGGTATAGGACGCTCTGCCATTTAGATAAAGATGTTTCCCAACACTGCGCTAGCACCAAAGGATTTCTGCTCTAAGAGAACCGAGTACTGGATGATTGTAAACACTAAAGGAATCGTGTAAATGTAGATTCCCACCTCCCCCCACCCATACACACACCCTAATAAACCGAAACGTCTGGCCCGGGAAAAGCAGCGTAGCATGGACCTCAGCTTTCGTTGGCTTCCTTCTACCTTCATAGCTCAAAGAGAATGGAAGTTTTGGCCCCTAAGATCCAAAGATTCGAGATCTCTGTGGAGTTCCAGGGGTCTTGGTGGCCTCAAACCCGGAGGCGACCGGAGGGTTAAGCTTTCCACCTCTGCCCCTTCTCGCTCTCGGCAAACTCCGCGCCAGAGGCTAGCTTTAGTCCAGCCCTCTGGTCCAGCACCCCCTCCTGCAGCCCGGCCCCGCGAACTTCCACGTCCGCCTGCGGGCCATCCGGGCTGCGGGCCCATCTTCTGACTGGTGCAAAATGCATTTCGGTGGAATGGGAACATCTGGAAAGGGCGCGCGCAAACCTTACACGCATCCCCCACCACACACTAGGACCCCACCCACGACAGAGTGTACCATTGGACCCCCACGCTTCCACTATCACTCTAGCTTACAAAGCTGGGGTCTAGGGCCCTCTCCGCGTCCCTCCTTCTCCCCGCTGGGCCTCTCAGTCCTTTCCCACCCGAAAGGAGTCGGGAAGTAGGGAAGGGGAACCGCGGTCGGGGGTCAGTGAGGTCGTTACCCTCCGTCAGACGCGGACTGCCCGGCTCCCTGCTTCTCTCGGCGGCGCCCATGTCCAGCTCCCGGACGGGAGAGCGCCCTCCTCCAGCTCCTCCGCCTGCTCCTCCTCCTCCTACACCTCCTCCGCCTCCTCCGCCTCCGCCTCCGCCTCCTCCGCCGCCGCCTCCGCCGGCCGCCCGGACTGCCGGGCTGCTGCGGTCGTCTCGGCCCGCCTCGGCGCAGCCGGTCGGCTCCTTGGCCCCGCGCAGCGGCCCGCTCTCCAGCACCTCCCGGTACGTGATCGCCTCCTTCTTCTCCTTCACTTTCTGGTCAAAAGACTTGGAGACGAACGCCGTAAGTTCTTCCATCGCCTCCGCACGTCAGCCCGGCGCTCAACCTCTGCCAGCCGAGCCCCGCTCTTTTTTTCCTTCTTCTTTTTTTACTGCTCCAGCCCCCCCAATAATAACACATCAATGGGACAGGAGGTGGGGGAGGAGAAAGAGGAGGAGGAAGAAGAAGAAAAAGAGAAGAAAGAAGAAAGAGGAGAAGTAAAGGAGGAAAGAAGTAAGAAGAGGAGGAGGAGGAAGAAGAGGAGGAGGGGGAAGAAGGGTGAGGAGGAGAGGGAGGAGGAGGAGGAGGAGGAGAGAAGGGGCGGGGGCCGCCGGAGGGAAATGGGAACTGATGCTTCCCTGCCGGAGCGGGCTTGTTCAATGTTAAGATCTTTGACAATTCTTCCTGCGGAGAGTTCAGATCTGATAGAGACGCTGTGCTTGAAGTCTCACTATTTATACTTCCTAAAGGCGGCCCCTTGTTCTGAGTAAATTACCTCCCCTCGCAACTCCGAGTGAGCCCCCATTCCGGGTAGCAGTGGCCTCTACCACGGGGTTGGGGAGGAGAAGGGGGGGGAGAGAGAGAGAGAGAGAGAGAGAGAGAGAGAGAGAGAGAGAGAGAGAGAGATTCGAGTTCGGCGGGCTGGTGCTGGAGTGGTAGGGCAGCACTGGGGGACTGGAGGGGGCGGGGAGAGGAGGCCAGTCCGCTCAGGTTTTCAGATAGCCCCTGCTGCCTGTGCTCTTGGCCATTAATCCAGGATTGACAAGAGTCCCTAATTAATTTAATTAGGCGTGGATTTTGTGTTGGTGTCACGACTTAGTTAAACACTGGGGAGCTGGATAGACCCCGCGGGGTGGGGCCAAGAGGAAACTGACAAGTGCGCAGCTCTTGGAGCCAGCCTGGTATCCCGACTCGGCATCCCTTCCTATAGCCTTGCCTTGAGCCAGGGTGCCGCGCAACTGCTCAGCTTCGCAGTGCTTCTCCTCGTCCCTGCCCTGCATCAACCGCCCAGCAGTTTACAGGCCCCGCATCCCATTCCCGCATCCTGACCTCGCATCCCAGTCCTGCATCCCCGCCTCTCCCTCACATCCCCCACCCCTGCAGGCCTTAGCTTCACCGCCCAGCATCATCCTGCCCAGAGTCAGGGTTCTCTGCAGCTTCTCCAAGCCACACAGTTTCTCTTAGGAGCTTCCCGGCTCGCAGGCCGGCGGAGTCCGTGTCTCCTCCGAGCTGCTCGCCCCTCGGTCCGTGTTATTCACTGTACTATTCGTGTCCTGAAGCCCAAGCTGACTACTCTATGGATAGACCCCGCTAAAAGGGACCGGTCGATTTAACAAGTTTCCCGAGCAGCTGCTCCCTGACAGGTCGCATTTTAAAGTGTTTCCTTAGCGCCCAGTCAAGGACAACTCGATTTCGTTCGTTTCCTCTTTGAAGTCTCAGAACTCCCACCCTTCTCCCTGACTCCCTGCACCGGATCCCTCTGTGGTGAACTACAGGACTTCTTTAGCATCTTGGGAAACAGCCGAGTTGATTTCCTAATTTGAAAAACAAGAGATTATCCCTCTTCTAGTCTGAACACAAAATCGACCTTAAGTTTGTAGCCCGTCTAATTTCATTTATTGCGGAGTGCTAAAAAAGAGACGCTCGTCAGGAGTAAAGGTCTCTCTCTCTCCCTCTCACGATTTTAAATTGTTTATGGACTATTTTTATCGGAACGGGTTTTTATCGGAGAGGAACATCTATATTCCTGAGTCATTTGTCTGTATTGTGCAGGACAGGGCGTGCTGTGAGAAATGTGGCTATGCAAATATATACTCACAAAAGAATATTTACACATGATAAGTTATATTTAAGTGTTTAAACACATATGCCTTTTTAAGTGTAGCTTTGGAGACATTTTTGAGCAGTCTGAATATTAACGCAGACTTTCTGGAAGTTAAAGGTAACTTGATCATTATTTTGAATCTAATAGTCTTAGTAAAAATAAGAAGAATTACAGAACATTAATATTTATATCTTCCATCCATTGGTTAAGGCATCAAAATAAGTTAGCAGATAATTTGAGAAGTTCTGTCAAAACAACCTGAAACACTTGTAAAAAGAGAACACAATTATAACTTGATATATTAGTGTTCTTCAAATAGATGCAAATAGTACCTGGATATAGTCTTATGTTATACTGCAATACTCAGATTAAAATGTTCACATTTGATGAATTTAAGGATTATGTATATCATGCTTTTTAGAAATATTGTTTTGCCTTTTATTCATTTGAATTCTGAAGTTATCTTTCCTTCTGAAAACATTTCATTTTTTGCTACTTTTCAGAGAGCTAATGTCTGCGATTTTTCAGCAGCTATAGCTTTTAGCTATGAATACATTGTATTGGTGTTTTGTTACACCACAAAAGGGACTCAGATACTCAAAGTTTCCAAAGTTATATGAATTTAGAAACAATTTCACATTAAGTCTTGGATTACTATCCGTTACTACTTTAATTCTGATATTATCAGAGGAAAATAATCATAAAACTTTAATCCTTCGTGAAAAACTGTTTTAAAGATTATTTAGCAGAAGGGCCAGTAATGGGTGAGCTAAGTGGATATGGTGCTCAAAGTGCTCTCAAACTGAGATGTTAAATGCGTATTCACAAATAACTCAAAAATAACCACTGTTAGAAGTTGGCTAAGGGATCAGGAGACCCACCAGCTACTAGTTTGCCTTTTTAAACACATGACTTTTAGGTTTGAACTCATATTCCAACTACTGAGCTTGAGGGAAAGATGACCAGTTTAAAGGTAATCAGCAAAGTCACAGACACAACTGCTGTGTAATTCAAACCAATAGATTTTCCATGATCTCAGCTTATTGGCTCATTGCACATTTAGGAATAGTAGTGTTGATAACAGATGGAGCTATGAGAAATCTTTATTGTCTGACCACAGATTCCTACTGGCCTAAGTGAAATTTACTTTTAAAAAGATTCAAGTTTTTAAAATCACATACTAATAAATGCTCACAAAGTTCCGATGACGTTGTTTCATTAAACAGTAAATATTTTCCAGAGACAGGACATTTCAAAATGTAGTTTGGGTAAAAACGCGTTTATGGTAAAGCTCAGCTGACAGTCTGCAGACAGATACACGGGTTCCAATAAAATTCAGGACCCCAAGGTTTCCCCAGCTCTTGAATTATTTAAAATAAATGTGTAGTGTTGTAGTAGTTAAGTTTTAAAACAGTGCCTCAAAACTGGCTAGTTAAGGAACATCATTTATGAAAAATATATTGTGGGGGTGATTTTTAACCGTCTCAGCTCTGTGGAAAACTAGCTTGGTTATCTAGCAGTGGTGAATGAGTTGGTTCTCACAGTCGGCCAAAACCCAGGGCAATAATTTATTTATCTTTTTAGTTTTGCTTAGAGTAAATGAGGAAAAAACAATTTTCATGTTAGGAAAAATAAGTATTGTAGTATGAGTTACAGAAAATGCTGAGTCTCTTTAATTTCTATTGGTTTAAATTTAAAAAAAAAAACCCATAAACCTATAAATCTGATTTCTCCTTCACAAGAAACGGCTCCCCGCCTCGCCTCAGGCAGCCCTCTCCTATTCCTCTACTAACCAGTTACTTTAATGTGAGAAACTAATTTGCACTCAACTTGTGAGTGCCTTCACCTTCAGGGCAGAAGAAACACCGACTTTTAATGCATTTTTGCAAATAAATCATTACAATTTAATCACACACGACTCTATACAGACACACTCCCTTGATTTATTATTGTTGGGTGAGTTTCCCCCTCCCCTAGCATGAGATAACCAATTTTGTTTCGTGTAGGTGTCATAACTTCCCTCGATGCAGATATATTTACTGATTACCCATGACGATAACGACGATTACTAAGACAATAACACTCTCCAGTCCCATCTTTATTGCTTTTGGTATCAATAAAGTCAAAATAAACAAGTACGCAAAATATACGCCAAACAAAAAATTGGCAGCGTTTACAATCTACTTTCTCGGCATTCCCACCGCCTGGCAGCCTCCATCGATGCACTCGATATCTCGGCTGACGCTGTCTGGCGCTAGAACCAGGAAGGCGCTGAGCTTAAACTGGAGCAAGTACGGTGGAGGCCGGCGGCGCCCTGATCTGAAGAAAAGTCTCAGGGTCTGCGGGGCTTGCAAGTCAACGGAAAGTGTGAGGCCAAAGGTCTGGACCCAGGTGATGCCCGCGACCAGAGCCTAGGGAGCGGCGCCCGGGGCTGCGGGGCTCCGAGGCCCTGCTCGGCGAGAGGCGGCGTGGGGCCTGGCGCAGTTTGGGGCTGGCTGGCGGCGGAGGGGTGGGCGGTGGCCTCGTGGCGTGCGGGGTGTCACCGTGCGCATGCGCCCCGCACCTGGGAGGCTCTCCCTGGGTCTAGGCTGATGGCTGTAGGGTGGGTGGGTGGCTGCAGGCCTCAAGCTTGGCCCTCTGTCTTGAGGACGTGTGGGAGACTTCGCCGACTCCTCCTCTCGCCCCCTATTCCTGGTTCTTCCTCGCTGCTTTTGGGTTTCCTGGCTCATCTTGCAATATAAGTCTGGCGTTTCCTCACTAGCACTAGGTAGGGTGGAGCAAGAGGGAGGCTGGATTGTGGTGCCCTCTATCCCATCCACTCCACTGTCTCTGCCTTAGATCCACCTCCCTTTCTGAATCCGCCCGACCCTTTCTGGCTGACACTGACTTGCTGAGAAGTGGTGCAGGGTGAAATAGACGTTCCTTTCTTGAAATATAAATATACTCGCCTTAAACATACTGTATATTCCCTTGACTTCTGTACTTGTGGCCATGTGACCGAGAGCATATGGCTCTGTTTAATTTTGCAAGAGGTTATAATCCACTGTAAGGCGTGTTACCTGCTTTTGATTTTAGGTTAACCTTGATGTAATTTCTCTCTCAGAGGTTGTGTATCTTTAAATGTACTCTGGAAACCTAAATAAAATTTCGTTTTTACACTTTCAGAATTAGCAGTAACTCAATTGTGTTTCAATTAACTAGGTAGTAGATAAGTAAATTCAAATGTCTTTATGTTGTCACCAGAAAGCATTCGAGTTGTCATCTTTGAACTTAGATGTTATATAAGGTCTAAGTGAAGGAGGTAAGCAGAGTTCCCAAGTTTAAGATTTGGAGCAGTTGTGACAGTTGCAACCTTGGGGGAAATCCTTTGAGAACCTCTCTAGTCTTAGAGTTTATAAATATTCAGTCTTTGCAGGCAAGGATTTCATGCTAACTGATACAGCACTTTATTTATGTTTTTCAGTAAGAGGGCTAAGAATGTCAAAATCTGAAAACGACCAAAACAGCTGGCACCTTTCTGTTATTGGCCTTGCCAACTCAACCAGTCTCGCAAAGAGGGGTGTTATGAATTGGAAAAGTTCTGAAAGCAGGCTATTACGGTAGATCTATAGATGTGTTTCCTGCTTTCATTTTCAAACCATTGAGGAGAAATTCCTGTGATTGATTTTTTTTAAAAGAGATGCCTGCAAGTTTTTAATTGTGATGCGAGAAATGTCTTGACAGAATTTCTTTTTTGAGTATTACTTTGTTGTGCTTGAATTTGCCTCCATTCTTTTTACTGCCTTTGCATAGTTGTGTACTTGTTTATGGATTTCTTAGTTTTCACTCCATTTTTACTTTTCTTCTTTGAAGTGAGTTTCCCGTTGACCATTCTTTTCACTTTTTCTGGCCATGTATCCAGGATCAAGAAAATTATAGTTTGATATATTAATGAGTGGGTAATGGAGAAGTAATTATAAGCTATCATGTCCTTTGAGAATCTTTGTTGTCTCAAACTGCCTGTTCTCTGAAAAAGATAACTGCTTCTTGTACCCTTATCAATAATGGGGCAAAGGAACGATTTGTGTAGTCCTTTGAGTTCTTTTTTCTTGAATGACCACATGTTGGTTTCACATCTTCAACCAGGCACCTGAACTTTACATTAAGATATTTTTGTAAATTGCTGTCCTCCTGGAGTCATTACATGCCATGGCTTCAGTTCTGTAGTGGGAGTAGTTGGGTGAGATTTGCAACCATGAGGCTACAACCAGGAAGAACTACAGTGAGAACAGAAAACCAAGAGCTATAGGAGCTCTGTCCCATGTTGTCTTTTTCACCTAGAGATAGATTGAAAATTCTTAGCTTGTGGGACTCTAAAAGGCTGTGCTCTTTTCATCATTCATTGCCCTTATCGGAAAGAACTATCAATGTGTCTTTCCATTCATTGCACCTTACTGGTGGAGTTAAGTATAAAGAATTTTTCCTTACTAGGAGTATGTAATATAAATTGATCATCATGACTTGAATTGGCAAGTATATTCAATTACATGCTGATGACATTGTGGAGATCTAAGGGATAAGTTTATGTCTGTGGTGGTGAGCAGGACTTCAGTACCTGTCATTTATAGGGAAGACAATTTTGGGATCTACCTTTTGTGATTTGCTGTTAGTGTTCACTCCCTTTTCTGAATAATTGTTTGAAGTTAACTATAACAAAGAAATATGGTGACCTTTTGCTTTCTTTTATTGAGATTAATTATACTTCAGTGTAACTTTTCTGAAATGTAAATTGTCACTTGAAATATTTATAGTTTTGACACAGTGGTTTTTCAGCCTTTTATTGGTTTCTCTAAGGAAGGATTTTTTTTTTTTAAGTTCTGGGGTACATGTGCAGAATGTGCAGATTTGTTACCTAGGTAAATATGTGCCATGGTGGTTTGCTGCACCTAAGTATTAAGTCCAGCATGCATTGTCTGTTTTTCCTGATGCTTCCCTTCCCCCATGTCCCCACCACAGGCCCCAGTGTGTGTTGTTCCCCTCCCAGGTCCATGTGTTCTTGGTGGTCAGCTCCCACTTATGAGTGAGAATATGTGGTGTTTGGTTTTCTGTTCCTGTGTTAGTTTGCTGAGGATAATGGCTTCCACTCCATCCATGTCCCTGCAAAAGACATGATTTCATTCTTCATTTAGTTTTATTTTGTGTCTTTGCTATTGTGAATAGTGCTGCAATGAACATACACGTGCATGTATCTTTATAATAGAATGATTTCTATTCCTTTGGATATATACCCAGTAATGGGATTGCTGGGTCAAATGGTATTTCTGATTCTAGGTCTTTTGGGAATCATCACACTGGTGATTCCTCAAAGAAGCACCAGTTCTGGACAATTCCTGTGACATCATCTTCCACAATGGTTGAACTAATTTACATTCCCAACAATTTATTAATAAAAGCATTTCTATCTCTCCACAGCCTTACCAGCATCTGTTGTTGACTTTTTAATAATTGCCATTCTGACTGGTGTGAGATGGTATCTCATTGTGGTTTTGATTTGCATTTCTCTAATGATCAGTGATGCTGAGCTTTTTTTCATATATTTGTTGGTCACTATAATGTCTTCCTTTGAGAAGTGTCTGTTCATGTCCTTTGCCTTTTTAATGGGATTGCTTTTTTTTTCTTGTAAATTAGTTTAACATCTTTGTAGACTCTGGATATTAGACCTTTGTGAGTTGTATAGGTTGCAAAAATTTTCTCCTATAGATGGTCTGTTCTCTGTGATGATAGTTTCTTTTGCTGTGCAGAAGCTCTTTAGTTTAATTAGATCACATTTGTAATTTTTGTTTTTGTTGCAGTTGCTTTTGATGTTTTTGCAATGAAATCTTTGCCCATGCCTATGTCCTGTATGGTATTGCCTGTATTTTCTTCTAGGGTTTTAATAGTTTTGGGTTTTACATTTAAGTCTTTAGTCCATCTTGAGTTAATTTTTGTTTAAGGTGTAAAGAAGGGGTCCAGTTTCAATTTTCTGCATATGGCTAGCCAGTTCTCCCAGCAAGATTTATTAAATAAGGAGTCCTTTTCTCATTGATTGTTTTTGTCAGGTTTGTCGAAGATCAGATGGCTATAGATGTGAGTCTTATTTCTGGGTTCTCTATTCTGTTCCATTGGTCTGTGTGTCTGTTTTTGTACCAGTACCATGCTGTTTTGGTTACTGTAGCCTTTAGTATAGTTTAAAGTCAGATAGAGTGATGCTTCCAGCTTTGTTCTTTTTGCTTAGGGTTGTCTTGGCTATATGGGCTCTTTTTTGGTTCCGTATGAATTTGGAAAGAGGTTTTTATTTTTTTCCTAATTCTGTGAAGAATGTTAATGATAGTTTGATGGGAATAGCATTGAATCTATAGGTTACTTTGGGCAGTATGGCCATTTTCATGATATCGATTCTTCCTATCTACGAGCATGGAACGTTTTTCCACTTGTTTGTGTCCTCTCTGATTTCCTTGAGCAGTGATTTGTAGTTCTCCTTGAAGAGGTCCTTCACTTCCCTTATTAGCTGCATTCCTAGGTATTTTATTCTCTTTGTAGCACTTGTGAATGAGAGTTCATTCATGATTTGGCTCTCTGCTTGTCTGTTATTGGTGTATAGGAATGCCTGTGATTTTTGCACATTGATTTTGTATCCTGAGACTTTGCTGAAGTTGCTTATCAGCTTAAGCTTTTGGGCTGAGATGATGTGGTTTTCAAGATAAAGGATTATGTCATCTGTAAACAAAGGCAATATGACTTCCTCTCTTCCTATTCTAATACCCTTTATTTCTTTCTTTTGAGTGATTGCTGTGGCCAGTGTTTCCAATACTGTGTTGAATAGGAGTGCTGGGAGAGGACATCCTTGTCTGGTGCTGGTTTTTATGGGGAATTCTTCCAGCTTTTTCTCATTCATTATAATATTAGTTGTGGGTCTGTCATAAATGGCTCTTATTATTTTGAGGTTTGTTCCAAGGAGAGATTTTTGTATCTTTCCTTAACCAGTGTTAAATGTAATCAACCAGTCTTTTATTATGGATAAATTATATTGTTTGTAATTAGAACAAAGAAAAAGTTTATACCCAGCGTCTCCTGTTCTCCTTTTTTTGGTCATGCCCAAGACGCATAGATCTGTATCCCTTCCTTTTTTCTACTTGTTTGTACCTTACTCAGAGATGTAGGATGAAGGACAGAAATAGGGATTGGGAATAACTATAGATATCTTAGAGCACTAGTTCTCAAACATTTTAGTCTTAGGATCTCTTTACACTCTGAAACATTGTTGAGCATCCCAGTAACCTTTATTTATTTTGATTATATCTATAAGTATTTACCTTATTAAAAATTTGAAATCTTTATGAATTCACTTAAAATTACAATAAACGTAAAATATG